GGAAATTGTACAAAGTAGTATAATCACACACATACAAAAGCAGTAATTTCATTGAAAATGTTTAAAATGCAAATTAAGGTCAGGCACAGTGGCTCACATCTGTAATCCCAGCACTTTGGGAAGCAGAGGTGGGTGGATCACTTGAGGTCAGGAGTTCAAGACCAGCCTAGCCAACATGGTGAAACTCTGACTCTACTGAAAATACAAAATTTAGCCAGGCATGGTGGTAGATGCCTCTAATCCCAGCTACTTGGGAGGCTGAGCAGGAGAATCACTTGAACCCAGGAGGCAGAGGCTGCAGTGAGCTGAGATCATGCCACTGCACTCCAGGCGGGGCGACAGAGTGAGACTCTATTTCAAAAAAAAAAAAAAACAAACAAATTAAAACAGTTAGAGGGCACTTATTACAGAGCTCATCTGTGTGTGTGTGTGTATGTGTATAGATAGACAGACAGACAGATAGTGTTATGTAAGGTTTTTAAAGCTAATTGCCAAGTAAGTAAGGGCACAGAGAAACAAACGTGTACACCATAAGCAGGTATGAAAACATACTTAACCTCCAAATAACTCCCTTTTTAGAAATTCAAAAGGAAACTGTGCAAGTACAGAAGAGCTATAAAAAAAGATGTTAACTCTATCACTGATAATACTATCTAAAAGAAACAACCTAAATGCTCATCAAGAGTTTAAATGATGATAATTCACACAATATGATGCAACCATTAAAAATGATAGTAGGGAGAAATTATCTTTGAATGCAATACAATTATCCCCAGAAGTATACAAAGACTTTTTATATAAGTACAAGAACTTTTTTGCTTTTTTTTTATAGTTTTATCTGTTTTACATTTTTTGAGATATACAAATACAATGTATATATCTAAGGTGTTCTGTTCGGTGAATTTTACCATATAACCACCAAATAAATAAAAATACAGATGTTTCCAGCACTCTAGAAGATCCCTCTTTGTTGTTGCTCTTATGCTTCTAGCCCCAACCCCTAAATACCGTGCTTATGCTTCTAACACCATACATGAGTATGACCTTGACCGAAACTTTATGTAAATGAAATCATGGAGTATGTACTCTTTTGTGTCTGGTTTCTTTTGCTCAACATTTTATCTGTGATATTCACCCATGTTTGCTGAGTATAGCCACAGTTCATTCTTGTCCACTACTGTACAGTGTTAACACTATAAGGCTATACCACAAATTATTTATCCGATTTTTTTGTTGTTGACAGACATTTGGGTTGTTTCCAGCTGGGAGTATTATGAAGCTGCTATGGACATGCCCTATTTGCCATGGTTTTGGCAGTTTCATAACTTATTTTTATTTTATTACCTCTTAATTTCATTTTAGCTACTTCTATTAATAAAATAAAAAGGATCAAACAATCAGAAAATAATAAAGAAAAAAATCTGCTCAGACAACTACTCTTAACATTTTTAACATTTATAGTTTGCATGACTGAGATCTTGTTATATGTCTAAATCAACTTTCTTTTCGTTATTTTCTTCCTTTTTTCTCTCCCTCTCCCTACTTTAGATCAACAAGGAAATGAACATTTACATTTAGTGTGCAACAGTTTCCACCTTACAAGATTGTGCAAACACTTACAGACATAAAAGTTTTGCTGTTGTTTGCTTCATACAAATACTTAGTATAACCCTCTGCATCCTGCTCTTCTCAAATATTATGGCAACACTGTCACATCACTGATTATTTTTCCTGCCTTTAAGAGCTTTACTGAGATATAACTGACATACCATACAAGTCACCCATTTAAAGTGTACAAGTCAATGGTTTATAGTATATTCATAGAACACAATCAATTTTAGAACATTTTCATCATCTCAGAAAGAAATCCATACCCTTTAGCTACCACCCCTTACCCCTGCTACTGCCCTAAGCCACTAATCCATTTTCTACCTCTATCCACTGTTCTAGGAGAGGAACCCCTGGGTCATATGGTAACTCTACGTTAAATTATTTGAAGAAGTGCCACATGGTCTTCCAAATAAACTACATCCCTTTACATTCCCTCCAGTACATGAGGATCCCAACTTCTTAACATTCCTGCCTACACTTATTATCTAACTTTTTCATTCAAGTCATCCTAGTGGTGTGAAGTGGTATCTCACTATGGTTTTGATTTCATCTTCCTGACAGCTATTAGTGTCAAAAATCTTTTCATGTGCGCATTGACCATTTGTTTATCTTTGAGAAATTTCTATTCAGCTCCTCTGCCTGTTTTTAAATTGAGTTGTCTTTTTATTACTGAGTTATGAGTGTTTATACATTCTGACTACAAGTTTCTTATTAGATATGACTTGCAAATATTTTCTCCAGTTCTGTGTATTGTCTTTTCACTTTCTTGATGGCATCCTTTGAAGCACAAAAATTTCAATTTTCAAGTCCAATTTACCACTTTTTTGTTTTGTTACTCCCGCTTTGGATGTCACTTGGCGTCACATCTAAAAATCGTTTACCTATTCCAAGGTCATAAAGATTTACCCCTATGTTTTCTTCTAATGTACATGTCTTCTGATGCACATATATAATGATTTCTATTAAGTCTATGCCCAGACATAAATCACAGGGCATACACAAATACAGCTTTAGGCAAATGCTGCCAAAGAATCTTCCAAAGTGGCTGTATCAATTTCCAAACCCACTTGAAATGTGTAAGGGTTCCAAATGCTCTACATTCTTGTCAACACTTCGTATTTCAGATTTTTTTTATTAATACCATTCTGGTGGGTATGTAGTGGTATCACATTATAGTTTTAATTTGCAATTTTCTGAAAATTGTGTATCAGTACTTTTTAACCTTGGCCATCTGAACAATTCATCTTCTAGATGCCTGTTCCAGTCTTTTGCCCATTTGTTTTAAAACTGGGTTGCCTGAATTCTTCTGTATTAATTTGCATATTTTAAAATATACTCTGGATACAACTCCTCTAATCTAAGTATTGCAAGCATTGCCCTTTCTAGTGTGTTACCTGCCTTTTTATTCTCTTAATAGTATTCTTTAATGAATAGATGTTCTTATTTAATGAAATACAGTGTTGGCCAGGTGTAGTGGCTCATGCCTGTAATCCCAGCACTTTGGGAGGCTGAGGCGGGTGGATCACGAGGTCAAGAGATCGAGACCAACCTGGCCAACATGGTGAAACCCCGTCTCTACTAAAAATACAAAAATATTATCCGGGCGTGGTGGCACGCGCCTGTGGTCCCAGCTACTTGGGAGGCTGAAGCGAAGAATCGCCTGAACCCAGGAGGTGGAAGCTGCAGTGAGCCAAGATTTTGCCACTGCACTCCAGCCTGGTGACAGAGCAAGACTCCGTCTCAAAAAAA